GACATTCTATTTATGAGGTAGGTTGTAGAGAGGATAGTTTCTCCCCAAAATTGGTTGGGTACATTTGTAGCCAACATGAGAGATCTACTCACTTCTAAGATATGTCTATTCTTTCTCTCGGCGACCCCATTTTATTGAGGGGTATCTACACATGAACTCTTATGTATGATTCCATGTCTCTGAAGGTAGGTACTTAGCACAGAGTGGTCATACTCTCGACCATTATCACTCCTAAGTACCTTAATCCTACTTTGAAATTACGTTTCCACCATAGTATGAAAAAATTTAAATATTTTGTCAACTTTTCATTTCTCCTTCATTAGGAACACCCAAGTGACCTTGTGTGATCGTCTATGAAGGTGATAAACCATCTTGATCCTGTGACATTGTTTACCCATGATGGTCCCCATATATCATTGTGAATTAGGGAGAAAGATTGAGAGAGTTTATAAGGTTGAGGCGAGTATGAGTTGTGGGTATTTTTGAAAAATTGACATATTTCACATTGAAACCACTCCTGATTTTTATTGAATAATGTGGGAAACATTCTTCTTAAGTCATAAAATTTGGGTAGCCAAACCGATAGTTCCACAACATTACATAATTTTTATTTTTATGTACCACAACACAAGAGTTGGTCTTGGGTTCCGCCTCTGACGCTTTAGTTTGGAGGCAGTAGAGTCCAACACATTCTTTAGCATGCCAATCATCTCCCCTGTCTCCAAAATTTGAAATTCACATAGGTTAAGGAAGAATTTAGTTACACACTTCAAATATTTTGTCAGTTTGCTAATGGATAATAAATTACAATCAAGTTTAGGCACATAAAAGGATTGACTTCAGGTTAATATTTTGTGAGATAATAACTGAACCTTTACCCATGACTTTAGAAAGAGTCTCATCAGCTATCCGAATTGTGTAATTATTGTGGCAAGGAGTACAACTTTTAAACACAATTAAGTCTCTAGTCATGTGATATAAGGCTATTGAATCAACAATCCATGACTTTGATTTTCCTATGCTAGTATTTAAAGCATGTAAGAAATTACCTTTTTGTGCTACTGCACTTGTACCAATTGTTTGCTAGAGAATTTTCTGTAGTGCTTCCATTTGCTCCTTGCTGAATGGAGATGGATTAATCCAACAAGTTTTTTGTATGTTTTTTCTCTGAAGGCTTGCAATGAATAATCCAACAAGTGTCTTTAGTGTGTCCCAATTTCTTGCAGTGATCGCACCAGGGCCAATGGACGATATTGGTTCCCCTTGCTGTCATTGTTGTGCCTTCAATGGGTGGGACTGCACTTGACTTTCCAAGCATTAATTTACTCCTGCTGTCCTCTCTTCTCACTTCTGAAAATAATTTTCGGATTGTTTTAAGAGGTTTGGTTCCAAGGATTCTCCCTCAGACTTCATCAAGTTTTGTGTTCAGCCCCAGTAGGAACTAGTAGATCCTATCTTTCTCCACCAATTCTTTTTACTTCTTCTTATCCTCGACACAACTCCATTGAACGTCTTCATATATGTCTAGTTACTGTCAATGTCGTTTGAGTGTATTAAAATACTCAGTGACCAAGAAATCACTTTCTCGCAATTCATGGAGTATGCTCTTGATCTCAAATACCGCACATTTGAGTAGATTTCCTTCACTGCATTCCACATCTCCTTGGCAGTGTCATAGTACATGAAAATCTTCCCAATTTCATTGGTCATGGTGTTTAGTAGCCATGACATGATTAAACTGCTTTCTAGTTGCCATTTGTTGAGATTAAGGTCACCCTCTACTGGACACTTGAGTCTCGGTGATGTATCCTTCCTTGAAGGAAGATTTCAACTGAACTCACCAATTAAGGGTAATTTTAGCCATTCAATTTGTGATCAGTGATAGGAAGAGCATGTCCTTCGACCAAACTAGTGGCTGAACCTCTTGCCTTGTTCTCTTCCATGGTTGGCTGCGCTAGATTAGGGATGATCCAGATCAAGCTCTGATACCATGCGAAAAATACGTTATGTATTTCTTATTTTGGAAAAGATACAAAGGAGGTATAAATAAAATACAAGGTAATAAACCTATACACTAATCTATCCCTGAAAATCAGGGAAATATTCTCCCTATAAACGTTGTACATAAATGTGCATAAATAACGAAATAAAACTGATTATATTATCATTAAATTCTATCATTATTGAATTATTCTAATTGATAATGTTGATATCCAACAACAAATATAATGGAGTTTTTAGTATCTAATAATTTGAAATAAGATCTTTGAAAGGCTACAAGTTTAGATGTTGTTTCTATCATCAAGAAGTCCTAAAAAGTATCAATATAAGTTTTTCTTCAAACTGTTTTGTAGTATACCTTAGAAGGTCATCTTTAATCCATTAAAGATTAGACAATTCACATAAGAAGATACTCACCAAACTATCTTTTGTTTGAAGAGTAATCAACATTATTTTCAAGGTTGATTTGTACAAATTCAAGCATTTCTTTGAGTAAATAAAGACAATCTACCTGTAAAAGATGATATAATTCAAAACTTTCTTCATCTTTTGTAACATTGTTCTCTAACATTCACCGAAGTTGTTGTACAATGTTTATGGAAGACTTTATATATATATATATATATATATATATATATATATATATATATATATATATATATATATATATATCAAAATCCAAAAGAATTTGTCTTCACAATGGTTTATCGTATAATAATGATTGTTTCATGCAACATGTCTACAAATGTAGATATTTGTTGGAAGTCTCACATTGTCTGCCTCATGTCATGTGATATGGTTTAAATACCTATTAGACTATTTCACATATTGTCAATTGATTTTATGTTGAAACATTAACATGGTATCAAAGCTAAAGTCTAACTTCTTTTTTATTATTGTCTTGGACCAAAAGTTGTCTGCTGGATCAAAAATACCATTTACTTAGTCCAACAGACTTTGTTGGAGGGAGCGTATTGGAAATTCTACATCGTCTGCCTCATGTCATTGTCAATTGGTTTTATATTAAAAAAAACAATATTTTATGTGAACTAAAACCCAATATTACTTTATGAAATCTCAAGTCTATACTAGAGATTGTTTTATTGAGAGAAATCTTTTCTTAAATCCTTCTATTGAAGTTATTTCATTTTGGTAGAGAACTTAGTTTATACATCTCTTCTTAGTATTTGTCTTTATGAGATGTTTTTATACAACTTTTGATGTTTCACTTAAAGAAGCTTGATATAGTTGATAAAACTAAGAGTGATTTAGTAATCAAACAATACTTGCTTTTTTTACTCAAGAAAAATTAAAGAGATTATAAAAATAATATTATGTACTCATTATAAACTAGAAATAACTTATTAAAATATTTAATTATAGTATAATATTTTAATAATTTACTAAACATAAATTAGATATAGAATAAACCAATATAAAAAAATATTTATACCTTCAATTTTCTTTTAATTGTTTTGAAAATTCTTGTGATATATATATATATATATATATATATATATATATATTATTTATTTTTATTTTCATCCTCATTTGATTGAAATTAGATTCCTATCATATACTCCTTCAAAAATATCGATAAAAGTGTTTAGCTGTATTAACTTTTCTCTCTATAACTAACTTATTTTTCGATAATCATGTGCTCCTCTAAAAATTTCAAGAAAAGTGTTTAGTTATACTCAAACTTCTCTTTATATCGAGAAAAGTGTTTAGTTGTATTCAAACTTTTCTTTATAACTAACTTATTTTTTCAATATAAAAAAAATTGACCATAACTTTAGGCCGAGGTCTGCACTTTTAAAAAATTAATTATCAATTATGAAGTCACATTAATTATAAGGTTCTGACTTAATAACATTATAATAAATATTAAGAAGAGAATATTCTATCCATAATAATACTTACATACATAAAAAAAAAAAACATAACAAATTTCTATCTCTTATGCTAAATATATATTTAATTTATGTTTACATTAATAATGCTATTTTATTGCTGAGAGAATTATGTATTGGATTGTTGTAAGTATAAAACTATTTATAGGTAAATACAATATTTTTCATCTTTTAACTTTAAAGTTCCATGATTTTCATTACACATTTATTTGTTTATATATTATTAATAAATAATGAAGGATTAAAAAAGAGAGAATAAAAACTAATTTTTATTTAATATTTATAAAAAAATTAAATAAAGGATTAAAACTATGTAAAATTAAAAAAAATTGAGGGACAATATATCTTTCCACCCAATAAAGTTCTATTACTATATATATTAAAAATTAATTTTAATTAAAACATTAAAAAAATAACTTAAGTAAAACACTTAATATTGTTGATTAATTAATTGATCCATGTGCATATAGACAAAGCAAGAGACCCATAAATTGCAAGTGCACCTAAAACATGGTCAATGACAAAGGAAAAAGGTACATGATGTTGCCCATAACAAACAAATCATTCAAAACGGTCGGTGATTCATTCAAAGAGAAAACCTAAGTCAAGCCATTAGGGCTTTGCTTGAATTGCAAAATGACAAAGTACATCTCAGAAAAACCAAAGTCCTGATGCTGTCTTATGATAATTTATATATATATATATATATATATATATATATATATATATATATATATATATATATATATATATTATATTTATAATAACTATGCATAGGTCAGAAACTCATAACTCAACTTTCTCTCTCATTTCTTCTCTTCCTCAATTTTTGTTTTTGGTTTATACTTTTTACCTATGCTCTTTTTCACATTTTACTCAATTAACCTTTAGCCATTTAAGGAACTAGCTGTACACATTGAGTGAAGGCAGAACCTATTACTGCAGACCCATTTCCCTCTATCATGACAACCATAGTCCCTGACAAGTAAATGCCCACTATTTTCTAACTTCTCTTCCTCTTTTTCTCTTCAGCTCTAAGTTTTATCTGAATGAAGATTATTCATTCATTCTAATAAAACATTTTCTTCATGTAGCTCCTACTCCAAGAAAGTCAATGAAGAACATGCTGGTCCTATTATTACCCATGTTTTCACTTTTCCCATACATTGAGAGATTGGTAATCTTGTTGGTGGCAACTGATTCAGATACTGAAACTTCTGATGAGTTTGAATCTGAGTAATGAGATTGGTCCACACCCACGGGTTTTCCCATGTGTCCAGCATCGCATGAACCGTTCCAAGCTCTAAAATGCTTGTTAAAACCCACATCCTTGGCTGGTGTCCTGCTTTCTCTAGATAAACCTGCAGCCCCACAGATTAACATGCAACAGTTCAGAAGAAAATGCCAGACACTTGAATTCATAGGGAGATTTAACCAGTGGTCCTAATATTTAAGAAAATCTATGAATGATCCTTCATTAGAGTTGTAAAATTCACATAATTTAATAGAACGAACATTTCGTCGTGTAAAATAAATTGTTATAATTTAAAAGTTAAAATAATTAATGGTAAATGGAAGAGCTAATCATACCCAATAGAACACCAAAGACTTGGTGATTCTGAGCAGGACAATGGTTGTGAAAAGGCACAGGAGTTGGTTTGGCTGAAGAGAGAGTGAATGAGAGGTAAGTTCCTGTTGAGCCAGATTCATCAATGATGGTGCTTGAAATGGCTGATTCACTGCTTCCGTTCTTTGACAAGGTCAAATTCAAATCCTTTGATGGCAGGATCTGAAACGTGGGTTTTCTCCTTTGGTATATGCATGACTTGTCCCTTTTTCTTCTAGCCATGATAACATGCCAATGGTTCTTCATTGCATTATCTGTTCTACCATGGAAGAGTCTAGAAATCATGGCCCATTTGTTACCATACACTTTGTGAGCATTCAGGAGTCTCTCCTCTTCTTCCTCACTGAAAGCTTTTCGGTTAATTCTGGGGTCCAACTGATTAAACCACCTTAATCTGCAACTTTTGCCTGCAATTGCCATTCGGCACCAAAAATCTATCAACAAAAATCATAGTAGATTTCACTCAGAAAAAAAAAAAAAAAAAACCCCGTCATTCACCTGATCTTCCTGGAAGATGATCAGCGATTGAGTTCCAATTTTGAGGTCCAAATTGTGCAACAAGCTTTTTAAGTTTGTCATCTTCAGCTGGCCTCCAATGCCCTCTGGCACAAAGCTTAGTGTGCCTAATTTTCCCTACGGCAGAAAAACTATTAGCTTCAAGCTCTTCACCTGGTTTCAAAGACAGGCTCATATCCTTAACCCCAAAAGATGTTTCTTCCCCCTCCTGGGGATGGATCACTGAGTGTTTCAAAACCTGAGAGAGTACATCAGAACATTCAGATTTCGCGCCTCCAACAACATGACCCATCACCCCTAAAATGTTTGAACACGGAACACCAAGAACAGAAACAGGGGATGGAGGAAAAATATTCATTTCAGCACTAAACCACAACCACCATTCCTGAAGTGTAGTGAGTTCCTCATTGAAACTGAAGATACAGAAAAGCAGAAAGGGTCTAACTTTCACAATACTGATGGAAGAAAAGCATTAAAAGACAAAGGTCTGTCGGGTGAGAAAAGAATATAAAAGAGAATACTAAAATATCAAATGGCAAAGAAGAGATTCATGATTATTATGTAGAGAGGGGGAAAATTTATGTTAATAATAAAGATACAGAGAAGAGAAAAAAAGGACAAAGTTTTAAGGAAGAGTTCAAGCAAATTAAAAATTAGATTTTTTGCTTTTACTTATTTTATTTTGATGTTGAATGAGATTAATGGGTCCACTGTTTACAGTTTTTCTCTCATTCTATAAGTAAAAAAAAAAAATATATATATATATATATATATATATATATATATATATATATATATATATATATATATATATATATATTAAACAAATGAGTGAGTTTGTGCATGCAATTTTCGAGAACCACCCGTGTGGGTTGTCAGTGTCACCGAAGTTGCACGATTTTACCTTCTCCCGCCTTTCCTTCTCGGGCTCTGGAAAAAATCGAAAGATACGGAAACTGTTTGATAACTTTTTTTTTTTTTTTACTTTTACATAATATTCTGTCATTTTTGAAACGATCCTAGAAATCGTTACTATAATGATGTCTTCGCAAAGTAGTAAACCAATAAATAACAACATCTATTTTATATTATATTATCGTAATTGTAACATATATTGAAATTTCAGCTCACTAACGTAACTTCAAAATATAGTAACATAATTTATTTATATATTATACATGTAAAAGTATCTTCCACTCGAACTATCCTCGCTATCCAAGTAGTCACATCACCATCTCTCAACTCCTCATCTCGCTCCCACATAAAAGTGATTATCGCAGTCCCATCCACATGGAAAAATAGGGGTAAGTATTAAATCATTTGATATAATAAAACAGATATAGAAGTAATAATTATATATTATGATCAATTACGAAATTATCAACACACTAAGACACCTTCCGAAGTATACCCTAACTATGCCCGAACTCGTAGGCTATCATCTCGTGGGCACATTGTGATCGGCACTCGCAGTATCATTCCGACCACCCTCCACACGAGTAGGATTACCGGCGCCCTTCATCACTCATACCGGAGTACCCCTCCGAGCGCGCCACCGCTCATCCTCCCATCGACTTCTCACCACCCGATCTCGTAGCCTACCCGACCCGACCAATCGCTGAAGTCTCGGGGCCTCATTCAAAATCCTCCGACATAGTTATTACACTAATGTACTCGTACCACCCCGGTACCATTCAAACATACAAAATTTATTCACATTTGCCGAATTCGGACCACCTGTCCTCACGGCTCATTCGGGTCAATAAAAATAGTATTTGATCGATTCCGGCACCAACCTTCCGGCTCGCCTAGTCAATATATAACGTCTCAGGATCGATTCTAGCATCACCCTCGAGCTTAGTCCGACCCACACACGTCACAACACTCTACTTTCATTCTCTCTCTCTTTATATATATATATTTTCCTAAAATCATTTCCGAAATCATTTCCGAAACTATTTCCGAAACTATTTTCGAAATCATTTTCGAAATCATTAAATTACTATTTTGCCCTTAATCTTTTCTTAAAATTCCATGTATGTCCCTAAATGACTATTTTACCCTTGGACATTTTTGAAAATTCCATTTATGTCCCTGTGATGTAAAATGACTAGTTTACCCTTGATCTTTTTAAAAATCCCCATCATATCCCTTTCTTCTTCCTTCGCTCGCTCAAGCGAGTACACCGGCCGCTTGAGCGATACGTAACCCGAGAGTCCCCTTTGTTTGAAGGCTTCGTCGCTCAAGCGAGTACACCTGGCCGCTTGAGCGAGACATGACCCGAGAGTCCCCTTTGTTTGAAGGCTTCGTCGCTCAAGCGAGTACACCGGTCGCTTGAGCGAGACAGACCCGAGAGTCCCAAATTTTCCAGTGTCCTTGCTCAAGCGATGTATTTTTCGCTTGAGCGACTTTTGCGCATTTTCCAGTTCGCCATTTTCGAAATCCAGATTTCAAATTTCTCGCTTCAATCACCCAAATTAGTTCCAAATCAAAATTTAACCATAAACATGTTCAATTTAAGTTAAAAACAACAATTTTAGTATATAATTCATCCTTAATTTCAATAATTAAAAAAAACTTTCAAACGATGAACTGTTCATCAAACTCGAAATTCTTCAAAATTAGACATTCTTCAAAATTAGACATTCCAATACTTCATATCTCTACTCCTATTCCTTATTCACAGTAGTACCCAACAATTCAATTTCATATATTGAATGAATTAAATTTCCCTTACTTGGTATGGTATTTCTACCGAAGCTTTCCCACTTAATTCAAGTTCTCTCCCGTTTCACTGCATCCCGCACGAGTAGAGTCTCGTTGCTTGAAATTTAGACAATAGAAGAAGAAGGATGAGAGGAAAATTTTTGATTTCCCTCCTCCCCGCTTCAAGTATTCATATATAAGAAAATTTTTATCGTGCATGAGGAAAACTTCGTTACGAAGTTTTCTTGCACAGTAATATTAATATAATATTAAAATAAGGCATACGTCACAATCTCCCCTCCACAAAAATTTTCGTCCTCGAAAATAAACTTACTTGGAAATAGATATGGATAAGAATCTCGCATCCGATCCTCCATCTCCCAAGTGAAGTCTCCGGATTTCCGATCCCATACTACCTTTACCATTGAGATAGTTCTACCTCTAAGTTGCTTCAGCTCGAGAATCCTCTATCCTTACCGGTCTCACATCAACGGAGAGATTGTCTCTAATCCGCACATTGTTCGACTCCAGGACATGACCGGGGTCATGTACATATTTCCTCAACCGAGATACATGAAATACATTGTGCAGATTCACCAAATGAGGTGGCAATGCTAACCGATATGCCACTCGGACCTACCTTCTTCAAAATCCGATATGGGCCAATAAACTTGGGAGTCAACTTCTTAGATTTAATTGCCCTTCCTACTCCAAGTAGTAGGTCCGATTCTCAAAAATACATGGTCTCCCCCTCAAATTCCAAAGGTCTCCTCCTCTCGGTCCGCATATGATTTTTGTTTACTCATAGCGGCTCTCGCCTTCTCTTGTACCTCCCGGACCTTCTCTCGTAGTCTGCTGGAGTAGCTCGAGTCCAATCAACACTTTCTCCTCATCCCGATACCAACATAAAGGTGTTTGACACCTCCTCCCATAAAGAGCCTCATATGGTGCCATTCCGATACCGGCATGATAGCCGTTATTATACGTGAACTCTATTAATGGAAGGATCTCATCCCAACTTCTTAGATTATCCAACACACAAGACCTCAACAAGTCTTCTAGTGACTCGGATGGTCCTCTCTGATCGTCCATCTGTTCTGGGGTGATAGGTTGAACTCAACCTAAGTCGGGTACCTAATGCCTCTTGTAAAGTCTGCCAGAATCTTGAAATAAATCTAGGATCCCTATCCGAGATAATGCTAGATGGTACCCCATGTAATCGAACAATCTCGCAAATATATAGTTGTGCCAGCTTAGCCATAGATATCCTCAGATTTACAGGGAGGAAATGTGCACTTTTCGTCAATCTATCCACTATCACCCAGATCGAATCGTACCCTCGAATTGTCCGTGGTAAATGGGTAACAAAATCCATGGTAATGTTATCCCACTTCCATTCAGGTATCTCCATTTGTTGTAGCATTCCTCCCGGCCTTTGGTGTTCCACCTTTGCTTTCTGACAAGTTAAACAAGCAGCCACATACTCTGCAATATCTCTCCTCATACCAGACCACCAATAAACCTTCTTCAGATTTTGATACATCTTAGTCATACCAGGGTGTAGACTTAGACGACTCCGATGATCTTCATCTAGTATTGCTCTCTTCAATTCCTGGTCAACAGGAATACAAATCCTTCCTCTAAATCTCGTAATATTATCCTCACCCATCTTATAGTCAATGGTCTCGCTTCGAATCCTAACCGATTTATAACACTTTTCAATGTCATATCACCTTGTTTTCTATCTCTGATCATCTCGAGAAAATCATTAGTAATGGTAATGCTACCACAACTAATACTAGTATCACGAAACTCTACATCTAGATGCAGATCCCCGAACTTCTCAAGTAATCTCAATTCATCCATCATCATTGCCGACATCCGAACCGCCTTCCTACTCAAGGCGTCAACCACCACATTCGCCTTTCCTGGATGATAAAGTAACCGAAAGTCATAATCCTTCGTAAACTCCATCCATCTTCTCTCGTCTCATATTTAGCTCTTTCCGATCGAATAAATACTTCAGTGCTCTTGTGATCACTAAAAACTTCAAATCCGACTCCATAAAGATAATGTCTCCACATCTTGAGAGCAAACACCACCGCTGCTAGTTCTAAGTCATGAATGGGATAATTCCTCACATGAATTCTAAGTTGTCTCGACGCATATGCCACCGCCCTTTTATCTTGCATCAAGACACAACCTAACCCCCGAATAGAAGCATCACAATATACTTGAAAAGATTGAGTCACATCTCGGGATCACCGACACTCGGGGAACTAGACAATCTTCTTTTCAACTCCCGGAAACTCTCCTCACATCTATCTCGTCCAAGCAAAAGGTTGATCCTTACGGTCAACCGTGTCAAAGGAGTTGTTATCTTAGAGAAACCCTCTATAAATTTCCGGTAATATCCTGCAAGTCCCACAAAGCTACGCACTTCCGTCACTGTCTTAGGGGGTTCCCATTTTAACACTACATCTACCTTGGTAGGATCTACAGATATCCCTTTTGCCGATATTACATGTCCCAAAAACTGCACCTGTTCTAACCAAAACTCACATTTTGAAAGTTTGGCATACAATTGTTTCTCTCTTAACACAGCCCAACACCGCCCTCGATGTTCCCGGTGTTCTTCCCGAGTTCTAGAAT